GACATCTTGTGCTAACTGGCGAACAGTTATACGTCGGTCTGCCAAAATGTCGGTCTCCACTTGATGGATAGTGTCCTCATCAATGGCTGAATGGGGGTGACCAGGAATGGCAGCTGTTTCCACAGATGTCCGACCACACTTGAACTGGCGATGCCAGTGTTTAACAACGTCATATGATGGGGCATCTTCTCCATAAGTTCCTTTCATTTCATCGAAAGTTTCTTTTGGTGTGCGACCTTTCAAATATAAAAACCTAACCACTGCTCGGTATTCTACTGGCTCCATTGTCACATCCTACTCGATCATAACACCTGTAAAAGAAGTAAGATTAATAGTTCGATGCTGCAAATTCAGACATAACCCATAGATACATGTATCATTACACGTGTGAAATTTCAACCAAATATGATAACCCTAAGTGGTTTAGGGGAAATCTTTAATGAACACCCATCGTATATCCAGTATATTTCACGAATAAACCAAGGACTCAAATACAATATCAAGCTGTTTGTATTTAGATGATGTTATCATTTTTTTTATCTATTTAGATCCATAATGCTTTACAAAGTGACACTGATTTTCGTTCACAAAGGGAGATAATTAAGGAATTGTCAAGCTATGTTGTCTCATGGAACACTCCACAAGTTAACGCGAACATACATATAATGTAGTCCTTTTCTATCCTTTTACATTAAGTAGAGCTAATAAACAGATATTTTTAATTTGATTTCAATCTGCCTGATGAGCGAAATATCTACATTGTAAATGTGTGAAATCTATTCCCAAACATAGTTCGATGACGTTTGGCTGTATTGCTAAGGGTCATTTAATAGTATTTGTCCGGTGACCCTATCCTTTACAATTATTTTATTGTCTAAATGGTTTGAAGTGTTTATATCTTTTTAAAATAAAACGGGTAAATGTACACTTAAATTTTAGAAAAGACAAACATCAATTATTATTATAAAATCGGTCCATTGAATGCAAAATTCAAAGATTATTGTGATTACAATGTCTATCAGTAAATTTCATTCAATAAAGTTTTTCTCCGAAAAAATATTGGAATTTTGGACAGTGTTCAAAATATGTTACTTTTTGACAACATTTTAAACCCAAACGACCATTTTTTCTTGATTTTTCAAATCTCCAATCTCGAAAATACGATACAAAAATATTTGCTTAACTTTTGCTGTGAAAATATCAACACATTCCTATATTTAATTGAATACATCTATGCCGTTAATCACCTGTTTTTAAAGATTGCAGTTATTCAACAGACAATATTTAATCACTTATTATCAAACATTTGTCTTTCTATAATATTGATAACATACATGTAGGTGTTGTCTTTAAAACGAAAACAATGCAATTTCTTTTACTAGAAAAAGATTTAATATACTCTTTATACAAATATACTATACACATATTTGATCACATGTATTTCCTTGTTAGATCAATAAATACTACACTGTGTAGTTACATTCAATTGTTAAAACCGCTCGTCCCACAGCATTTCAGATGTAAATGTAGATTGATATAATTTTATAAAATGCGAAAATAAAGACTAAAGTATTGTCACAAATGCGGAACTCTGCGCTTTATGAAAACTGTAACATTGAGCAAGGTCTCGCCGGGCGAATACAAAGGGAAAACACTCTCAGTTGGAGTGTGAACTAAGATTAGCTGCCCCTGAGTTAAGGTCACAGTCATTACCACAGAGCCTGCCGACACCTTCCGTTTTCATCCTTCCCATATTATCGAAAAGGTATGTTGTTTCACACTTCTTCAGCATTGACCCGGATAGAAATATATTGTAAGCTTTCCACTCCATGGTTATGTGGATCGCTGTCGCGATTAAAAACATTTCTGACGTGAAATCTTTGATACGTTCTTCGTATTTCCGAAGTGTCAATTTGAATCACACAGTTTAACAAAGTAAAATGTCAACGTTTGAACGTAAAGCAGACGAATTGTTTGGCAAAATATCTATGGAAAAGTATGCCGCCATCTTGGATGAAGATAAAATTAACTTAAAAGGTATGGGTCTATCTAAGATTTACGACAAACTTAAGATATCGCAGGGCTACGATAGTTTCGAAAATAGGATACGCTAGCCTACGATTTCCTTACGATAACTTTACGATAATTTTAGGGCTACGATCGATTCAAAATCTAGGCCCTTAAAATCTTAACAACTTACGTTCAAAGATAAGATATCTTAAGGTTAAGATAACATAGATTTTCGAAACTATCGTAAACCTGTCGCAGATCGTTCATAGTAACGATGCCTATCGTAACTCTGACAGAGAACTCATTTGTGTTAGAGATTGAAAAAGCGGGGTGTTTCCCAATGACGTCACTGGGATTTCCCAGCTGCTGACAATAACAACAACATAGATAAGTGACAGGGAATTCATGATCACATTGTCAGGTCACATTGTTTAACCTGCACATATTTGAGTGAAATTCAGTACAACCCTACATGTAGACGTTTTGTTCTTATGATAAATGATGCCATGACTACCCGAACACAAATAGCATTCGTGTGCCATGCAATAGCATTTTTCAAAACCAATCAATGTTATAATCAATAAGTGTATTGTAACCACACTTTAGCTGTTGGAATTGAAATAATGTGCGAAAAGATACTTCACTATTTTCCCTTCAAATGGTCCTCTCGTGAGAGCGCAGAACTTTATGATATAAACACATCGCGTACAAAGTCAAGGACGAAAGTAAGGGACGTTATTCTAAATGACAATGACGAGACCTTTGATCGAACTGCATATGCGTTAAGCATTTAAGACGCGTGTTCAAGATGATGTTAAGTGATGTATACTGTATAGCTTTGTGTTTATGTCAAAAGTCAAGTTTATATTAGTGTAAACACCAACATTATACGTGGGAACACTCAAAACAAAAATTGTTCAGGAAGCAGCGCACCCACAAGCAAGTTTTTAAAACAATCTAAGCTTGTTAAGTTTGTTTTGTTATTCATGTACCCAATATATTTCACGAATTAACCAAGGACTTAAATACAATATCAAGCTATTAGTATTTAGATGATGAAATATTTATTTTTTTATCTATCTTGATCCATAATTATTTTCAAAATTTAAAAGTGACACTAATTTTCGTTCGCAAAGAGAGATAATTTAGGAATTGTCAAGTTATGTTGTCTCATGGAACACGCCACAAGTTAACGTGAACATACATATAAGGTAGTAATTTTCTATCCTTTTAAATTAAGTAGAGCTAATAAACTGATTTGTCTGATTTCATTTAAACCTGGCTGAGGAGCGAAATACTTTGTAATGTGTCAAATCTATTCCGGAACGGAGTTCAGTGATGTTTGTCTTGTCTGACAGAATTGCTGAGGATCATTTACTAGTATTTGTCCGTTGACCCTGTTCGTTACAACGATTTTATTGTCTGAATGGTCTCTAGTATATCTATAGTTTTTTAAACATAAAACGGGAAGATGTAGACTTAAATATTAAAATGATCACAAATATTTTAAAACCGGTTAATTGAACGCAAAGATTATTGTGTTGGAAATGTGTATTTTACATTGATCAGTAAATTTCAGTCACTAAACTTTTTTTCTGCGAACATATATTTGAAAGTGAATTTTGGACAATGTGCAAACTATGCTACATTTTGACGAGAACCCGAACGAGCATGGGAACCCATTTTTTATTTGATTTGTCGATACGATAATCTGTGCTTAACTTTTGCTGTCAAAATTTCAGTAAATTGTTAAATTTAATGGAATACATCTATATGCCTTCTGTAGATTGATATAATTTTATAAAATGACACAAATGCGATCCAGAAAATATAACAGCGGAACTCTGCGCTTTATGAAAACTGTAACATTGAGCAAGGTGTCCCGGGTGAATACAAAGGGAAACCACTCTCAACTAGAGTTTGAACTAAGATTAGCTCCTCCTGAGTTATCAATAAGGTCACGGTCATTACTGTAGCCTGTCGACACCTTAATTATCGAAAAAGTATGTTGTTTCACACTTTTTCAGCATGGACTCGGATAGAAATATATTGTAAGCTATCGACTCCACAGTTATGTGGATCGCTGTCGCGATTAAGAACATTTTTTACGTGAAATCCTTGATGCGTTCTTCGTGTTTTCGAATCACACAGTTTTACAAAATGAAATGTCAATGTTTGAACGTAAATAAGACTAATTGTTTGGCAAAATATCTATGGAAAAGAATGCCGCCATCTTGGATGAAGATAAAATAAACTTACGACAGGTATTGGGCTATCTTAGATTTACGACAATCTTAAGATATCTTAGGGCTACGATAGTTTCGAAAATATGCTACGATAGCGTACGATTTCCTTACGATAAATTTACGATAATTTTAGGGCTACGATCGTTTCGAAAATCTAGGCCCTTGGTGGTTACCAAGGAAAGATCGGACCACTCTTCGGTAAGAGCATTGCCGAGTTCGTATAGAGTTGCCGGAAGGACAGGGCATGTTCGATAGGTCTGGTGACCGGGCTGGCCAAACGGACAATGCTATAAGTCGGCACCAAGACCCTGGCACGATGACGTCGTGCGTTATCGTACGTGAGGATGAAGCCCGGTCCGATTTCACCAGCATACGGTCTCACGTACACATCCTGAGAGTCATCCCAGGAGCGCACACCGGTCAGATGGTCAGATCGCTTCTTCCAGCTCTACTGATCCCACCCAAATTAAGGCCCCCTAGACCATCTTTTGTGTTCAAGACAGTGTCTCGATTCATCAGTGAAAAGTACTGGAGCCCAATCCATACTCCACTTAATTAATTATTACTATATTGTGCCTGAGAGTTAGAGCTCTCTCTCTCTCTCTCTCTCTCTCTCTCTCTCTCTCTCTGTATGTGTGTGTATGTGTGCGTGCGTACCCGCGTGCGTGTGTGTGTGTGTGTGTGTGTGTGATAACATTCTGATTCAGCAACTATTTTCAAATTATTTTACGTATTTTGTCCCAGGTCGGAGATCTTGAATTTGAATTGAAAAATTCTGAGAGGGCACTTGAGTTCAATATGTCACAGATGAAGGCAAAGCTATCTAAGATAGAAACTTTGGAGAGGGAGTTGTCCAACGCACAAGGAGTTTTCAGGGAGACAAATGGTAGCTTCCTGAAGAGTGCACCGCGTTGTGTTGATCTTACAGACAACCAGCACCATATCCAGGGCGATACAAACACGTCCATCTCTTGGTTTGAGGAGGAAGAAGATATTGGTGATGGGCACATCCATGTTGGTGGAATGGGTCTGCACAGATGTACTAAGATCACCGACATCCGCCTGCAGTTAGAGGAAGAAGATGTTGGCGAAGTGGACATAAACCTTGAGAAGGAAGATGTTATCCGGGTGAATATGGTGCAAGATGAAAAGAACACTGAAAATAGTGAAGAGGCAGAGGTCGACAGAGGGGACGAAAATGAAGAACATGGGGACCAGGGCGATGATGGTGAGGAGGCAGCAGACTCTGAGGAAGAGGAGGAGATGAAGGCTACCAACAATGAAGAAGGTAAAGCTAGTTATTATCTTACCTGCCTTGAGACATTATCTATTTAAGATGTGAATATAATTGTTAACTCTGGTTGGAATTGCACCTTATATATTCCAAACGTTTTAAGTAAGTGAAATATATGGGGTTTTTTCACGATCATCTCGATAAATTAACTTAACGTTGCCACGCTGGCTACAGCTGGCGATTGTAGAGCGTGAACCAGAAGATGGCTAGAATTAATTTCGACGTTCTTAGACATAAATAAACGTTTCTGAAAGGCAGATATATAGATCTATGAATTAGCTTTACTCCGCAATGATGGTGTTTGTATTTGACCACAGTTCAGAGGAATAAACCCTGTGACATCCCACATCACTCCAACACTGGATCTCCTCGGACCCTAGCTATGGAAGGAGTCTCCACTACTGGTTAGTTGTTGATTTCTAGCATTAGATATAGCGCTGACAAATAAAGGCATCATCTATGTCCATAAAGAGGATTACAACAACGAATTATATACAGACCATATAAGAATTAATGCGTTATTTTCGAGTGAGGGGTGCAATATTGCTTAACCCTCTGGATGCCATGTTGTTGTTTTCTGAGATCGGTAAAGTGAAGGTTGTGCGAGAATTGCGCTCATGTGGCACTGGATATACCTCTGGCTATAAAATTACGCATTGATGGAGATGGAGAATATTAAATTTCCTATTCGGTGGTGTAAATTTCACTGCAAATATTAAACCGGTTTTAAAAAGACACTTCTAAGTGTTGTCCGAGAATTTATTCTGCAAGGAAAAACAGTAAATTTCTCCGCGTTTTATGGTACACCGATAAAAGTACTGTGCGACATTTTTTTTAATTTAGAATCTTTACGGAAATTCTGAGCGAACAAAATACAGCCTAATATCTGAACGACATAACTACACATCAAATGGAGTTAAATGCGTATGTATAACGACATACGGGGGCACGGGTGGCCCAGTCGTCTAAGGCGCCGCGATTCGCTGTGCAGAGTTGCGGCCCTTGGGCACGCCAGAAACCTATGATTGTGGGTTCGAATCCCGGTTCGCCCCAATTATGTTTCTAGGTTTGTCAGCACCATGCTCGTGGGTTTCACCGAAGTGGTAAACGTCTGAGACCTGCATCACTCCGGGCTTTCCTCCCACATTAAGCTGACACGCCGTGATATAACTGGAATACTGTTAAAAGCGGCGTTAGACCCCACTCACTCACTATAACGATATACATTCAATGCCAAAAATAGCATGCCGTAAATGACGAAAACTGATTATTCTGTATGACGTCAAAAGGCGACAGAGGGGTTGGTTACACACGTACAAAGAAAAGGGGGCATAACTCCGCTATGCTTAGCACGAGTTTATTGTAACTCAGGTCACTTCATGAGAATTAGCTGTGGGTAAGGACAATATATATTCGTGGTGTTTTGTTTACGAGGAACCAAACTATTCCAACACAAATATCGATATTGAAACTGTATACGTTTAGTTATAAAAAATAGACAACCAAAAAAACCATAAGAAATGATGAAATCGTACTTCATAAAAAAGACGGAATAGATGAAGGGAGGGCCCTATCTGACCTATAACTTAGTCCTTATATTCCAACATTCTCCTGATTGTGTATGTGTAATTTGACTAATGTTGCACCATTATTAATGGAGCACTAGCCTTATCATCAAATGTAATGAAATACCAAAATGATAAATCCATTCCTTTTGATGTCATGGCTGGTTTTATGTCTTTTTTAACGTCGGAGAAAGACGACAGTGGTAGTTTGATTACTATATATCTCCCCTAATTTTCGTTCATGGTATGGAAAATCTCGATGTGTAAAACGGAATTGGACGCTTTTTCGACACATGATTGCTTTCACCAAGTAAATAATGTCTTGAATAAGATACGCACCTGTTTTGCATCAATTTACGTAATGAAATAACCAAAAGAATATTTCAAAACAACCAAAATTATATTCAATATTGGACATATATCTGTTCATTATTATGTTATAATTTCTCTTCATCTCGTCTCAAAATTACACAAAAAAAGATGCGAAGAAAGCTCTATTGGTATAGAGATTATCAGGATAATCGTTTACGGTTGAACCAACGGGGTACCTGGCAATGGCTGACATGGGTTTTATTTTTATACTTTTTACAATTCCTGGAGAAATAAAATAAATAGTTTAATATTCTGTGTTTACAATATTGAAAAAAGAACGAACCCATTGATTATATAATGCAAAACGAGAGGAATAATTCCTAAATTGTTTGTGACTAACGCGCACCTGGCGAAGCGTTAGATATCACTGTTCTGTGTATCAAACGACATAAAAACAATTCCAAGACCAAGACAATTCTTTCAGAAATGTATGCATATGTTTTAACGAAAAATATTATCCATTTTGTTAAAGTAATATATTCAGTTTTAGTTATAAAATGAAACGACTATTCATGGACATTGGTTATATGAACTTATAATATTGACTATTACACATCCCAAGAAATACGTACATGCTGCAGTTACATTATACTTCATCTTGTAACACTTGTCCAAAGGAACGAAATATCGTATTCGACACTATAAACCTATCAATTCTTATGTAAACAATGTTCAAACAAACCGGAGATTATCAAAGGTTCGTTCATACATGTTGTGGCCTATATTTACGTATGATATCATTTTGAACGTTGACAAATATCCACGGGGAAATCAATTGTGTGAAAAAATGTATAAAAGATATGCAAAATCTTCATCATAACTGAAACTGTAAACAGCATGATACAATGATCGTGTGCACTCTCATTCAAGGACCTTGACCTCAAATAAATTACCAAATATGTACAACAATGTTCACCTCAATCTTCTATGATGTGTCCATCAGAAGAGATGAGGAGGTACTGACCGGGTCCCAATATATACAGAAACCCCCAAAATGTTTGTTGTTTGGGTATGTTAGAAAAAATGGCGTCATATTTAGTCAGTTATTTTCCATATCAGGATGTCGTGATAGAATTTTACACTTAGCAATGATTTCTAACATTTATATAAAAAGCGTGAAATTCCGTTTTACTCATCGAGATTTAGGGGAGATATATATTAATCATATATTAATCAACTTACCAGTGTCGTCTTTCTCCGACGTTAAAAAAGACATAAAACCAGCCAGGAATGGTTTTATTTTTTTGGTATTTCATTACATTTGACGAAAAGGCTAGTGCTCCATAAATAATGGGGCAACATTAGTCAAATTACACTTACAGGAATCAGGAGAATGTTTGAATCTAAGGACTAAGTTATAGGTGAGATTGGGCCATCCATTTCTCTATTACCTCCTCTTTTTTTAAATATATATAACTTAACGTATACAGTTTCAGTATCGATATTTGTGTTGGAATAGTTTGGTTCCTCGGGAACAAAACACTACGAAAATATATTGTCCTTACCCACAGCTAACCTGAGTTACAATACACTAGTGCTGAGCAGAGCGGAGTTATGCCCCCTTTTCTTTGTACTTGTTAAACCTCTGTCGCCTTTTGACGTCATAGAAAAAAATCAGTTTTCGTCATTTACGGCATGCTATTTAGGCATTAAATGTATGTCGTTATACTTACGCAAATAACTCTATTTGATATGTAGTTATGTCGTTCAGGAATTAGACAGTATTTTGTTCGCTCACAGTTTCCGTGAAGATTCTAAATTAAAAATATCGTCGCACAGTACTTTTATCGGTGTACGATAAAAAGCGGAGAAATTTACTGTTTTTCGACGCAGAATAAATTCTCGGAAGTGTCTTTTTATAAAACCGGTTTATTATTTGCAGTGAAATTTACACCTTCAAATAGGAAATTTAATATTCCCAACGTCTGCGTAATTTTATAGCCTGGGGTAGATCCAGTGCCGCGTGAGCGCAATTCTCGCTCAACCTTCACTTTTCCTATCTTAGGAAAATGTGCGTCAGAAAAAAAAACGGCATCCAGAGGGTAACCACATATCTAAAAGCTATTCACTTTCGGACATTGAAAGTGGTGTATGATATATTGATTGTGTACATGGCTATCAAAGTATTAACTATCAATTATACTGCTATTAACAGTATAAATATTACTGAAAAGGACACGTGAATGTCACAACATGCATATATTTCATATAAACGTAATACATGTACATAGGAATTGTGTTGGTTGAGGTAGTGTTGCTAAATACTGATAGGCTAAAGAAACTATATGAAGACAGAAGAGAACGAAAAGAAGGAAAGATAAGTCAAAGATGTATATGTATTTTAGACATCAATCAGCATGAAACAAATGTGTCGAGTCACAAGCAGTGAAAATAGCGAGTGCGTGAATTGGCTTTGATGTCACTTTGAACAGTATTTCAGTTATATCATGGCATGTCAGCTTTATGTGGGTAGATGACCGAACGCACGAGCACCGTTATGGTGCTGACAAACCTAGAAACACAATCGGGACAAATCGTGATAAAGTATCTAGATGCACAATTTGGAGACGGGTCAGTTGATCAGTATTCAATGACGTAGCATGAAGCATGACGTAGCATTAAAACATGAAGTCGTATTTCATGTAGTCAGTTTTGGACATGCCTTCCATGGGCATCAATACACGCCCTGACTCCTCATCGAACAGAGAACCAGACCCAAGATGACGCAAACTTGAATCTGAAGCCATGCTTGCCTGCTATAATAAGGTAGGTAGTGATATTGGGTTTACTCCACTTATATAGCCACGTGCATGCACGTGTGTGTGTGTGTGTGCGTGTGCGTATGCGTATGCGTGTGCGTGTGGATGCTTCTACAAGTCTGGACGATCCGGGACTCATGCTTATTTTATTGTGCGAGCCCTCTGAGATACAATGACGCAGTTTAACATGAATGCCCCACACAGTATACTGACTCCGAGCCGACCAGTCCTTGTTTAAGCACCTCAATGCTGACCGCCAGGCAGGGTAACAACTTCTTTATCATGAGGAACACAACGTTTTAGAGTATATGCTTGCTCCTTCATCAGGTGAATGAATGCAGATCAGATATTTAGTGATTTAACGACCGCTTTAGCCGTTGACTATGTCGCAGTCGGGGCCAGACGGGTTAAGTAAAAAATTAATAGTTGGGAATAATAGGTAATCGGCTGGCCCAAAAAACTATAAATTAGGGGGATTAAAGGTAGAAAGGAAAATAGTAAAGAGGGTTGAGTGGGATAAGACAGTTTTGTGGCAGTGGAGGGCTGTTGAGAGGCATATTCTGTAACGTAAAAAGCATAAGTAAAAAGAGTATAGTGTTACTGATAATAATATAAGATCAGTTAGACTGATGTATTTATTTAGTATATAAGGTGTTTACTTATAAAAAAAAATAAATGGGGATAAGCTGGGTAACCTACTCTAAATGAATGAATGAATGAATGCTATGAGATAGATAGAGGTTATCACGCGAGTGTGTTTGGGTATGGTAAATATCCTGCATTAGGAATAAACATTGTATTTAGCGAGCCTTGGCGAGCTAAATACATAGTGTTTATTCCTAATACAGGATATTTACCATCCCCAGCCACACAAGCGTGATAACCACTTTATCATATAATGTCATTCTTCAATTCCGTGCTTGAAAATCGCTTCCCCTCACTCACAAACATTACCTAAACATTGCGAGTTTTCCTGGAATGCGCGCATTAATATTTATTACGTCACAGGGTAAGTGATGTGTCAGTCGGACAGTGACAGTAGCCAATATAGTTCCAACGGACATCTGTTTCTTATGCAGTGGCGAAGCAACATATACGCAAAACAACCAATGTTTTTACTTGCCTTTCGCGGCAATCCATCGGTCTGTTCGGTAGAGTAACTGCCCTTTGTCATAGGGAAGCTACTCTGACGTTTCTCTGACGTTGTTGACAGTCTGCCTGTTCTGTCATAACGTAAAGGAGTGCAGTCAGATGGACACACAGCGACAAAACGTAACAATTCATACATATTTCGCCTAAATCCAATGTTTTTTATTTGTGGAAAAGGTTTCAAGCCGCAGAGGTCTACAAGCACAGATATGGCTACTGATCCCGCTTGGCTAGGCCTAGTGCCCTCGCAAAATTGTTTCGAAATTTATGTCTCCAAAGTTGCCAAAACGTATAAAATGCCTTAGTTACGTCGCAGTTCGACACTGATTTTCAGTATATTAGAATGTTCTTTTGATAATTGTAGCAATTATCCCTGTAGTTTATCCAGATTCACGATGGTTAATTCTGACTCGATCGCCGAATGACAAGTGCGACGCCATGTTTGTTTATAAACACTGAAAGTAGTCCCTACTTGACCTTTGATATTTGCATCTCTATCCGCATATGACCCCAACGGATATCGTTTTTATCCGTTGGCTTTATCCTGCCGAGAAATCTACCCATTATATGATAAAGAGCATATATATATGTACATGTAAGAACAACAAAAGTAATAAGGTAACAAACGGGTGGAAACTTAAGAAGTAAAGCCAACAGATAATTGGCGCTGATAGCACTCTCCTACCCAGAGTTCCATGCGACCGGCAGCCAGCTAGCATAGTACCTCTGCCACAGGCCAGCGCCAGGTGACGATTCGTCACGTCTTTCACAGTCCATTCAAGATATTGCATATGCTTTTCATCCGTTTCATGTTTGACAAGTCTACACATTTTCATAAACAAATGTCAAAGAATGGTTAACTTTCATTGAGAAAGTATGCAAATACGTAAAAATCTACTTGTTTTTGCGTTGTTATCCTATGTTTACATTGGTTGTACGGCTCCACGTGCTGTCATCGAAGCCCAACGGAGAGCTAGCGACACGGTCACTTTGATGCATAAATATATATTGTCATGCAACTCACTGTCGCAGTTGTAGTAGCATATCTATATAGTTATGCAAAACAATATGTGAAGCGCCCCCAAATACTTGCATTAGTCTGTTCTATACTGATTTCTGAAAAAGCGCGTTTGTTTACAAACAAGAGAAAAGTCCGGTCACGTGATATGCAAATTAGCCTGTGGCAGTGGTGTTAGGCTGAGTCACCACTGCGACGGAGTGTGCGCTGATAGGTGATTAGCAATAGACAATGGAGGCTAAAACTTTACAGTAATTAGTGCTGATAGTTATGGAAAACTGGAAGCCAGGACTTAACGATCAATGATTGGCAATGGGCAAACGGGAGGCCGGGGGTAATTAGCACTGAAAGGTAAAAGAATAGAAAAGGCAACGGGCAAATGGAAGCCAGCTAGATAAATAGCACCGACAAAGGTTAAGTAATAAGTTCCAAGCATAAGGCAGATAGGTTCCCTGGTCACGGTTCATGGCTGGCTGGTGTCTCCTGAAAAGGACAAAAAAGCAAAACAAGAAACCAATGACATCAGGAGACACCAGCCAGCCATGAACTTTAGTGAAGTTCCATCTTGTTGGAGTTAGCTTTGAGAATGGTTGGAAAATGATCTCTTCCACATAGAATTAGAACGGTCAGTCCATGACGACCTATGAGCAGATCAGAGTCTGTAATAGACAAATCAAGGAAAGAATATGTATCTGTAACAGGATGTAAATATGTGAAATTATCATTAAGAGACATATATTGTTGTTAGAAATATAATCGTGCAGCACTATCCCCTTACTGCTTGTATGCGTACTTCCCCAATGGGGTTTCGAATCACCCATGATAATGCAGTGCTTGGGAAACTGGTCATGGAGGGCTTGGAGATCAACATACTGAAGTTTGGCTGAACATTCTTCCTCCTCTAATGATGTACCTAAATTCCAATAATTTAAAAACCAACAAGAAAAGAAAATTATTCATTTCAATTTAGGTAATGTGGAAGAATACAAGGAATCATTACTCATTCAATGGCTCCATACTGCCCTTGGGCAAGCTCATGATACAGTTACACGAGCTGATAACATACATTATCAACTTCTGAAGCACTTACCGCATCCATGTTTAAGTACACTGTTGAATATTGTTTGATGATCATGGCGTGATGCTATTGTTGTTCTGTTACCTAAACTCGGAGGTGATCATACTGATCCTTCAAATTATCTTCCAATTTAAATAACCAGGTGCTTTAGCAAAACAATGAACGCATGATCAATAATCGACTAGTTTGGTTTATAGAAACAAATAATCTAGTTACAAATTGTTTCTCAGTTCAGAATAGGCATAACATAATAGAATATGTGCTATTCTTTCTTTTTTCGCAAAATAGCCTTTAAGTTGCATGACATACAATGACAATATCTTTCATTATAAATTATATTTTAATATCTGCTGGTCTCGACAGGAAGCTTGAAATTGCAACATCTAAATCTAGAATAGGATGTTATCAAATGTTGTAGAATGTCACCAAGGTTCAAATAATTTCAATATTTGGGAGGGAGTTTCCAAGTTTCATCCATAAATGGTATTTTCAGTGTAAGTTAGTAAGGTCTTTTTAAAAAAAATTATGTTAATTGATAAATTTTCATAACAATATGTGATATAAGAAGTCAGTAATCTTTCAGTTTGGTAGATTAAATAAATAACTCAGATTGTATGGAGCTGTACCTTCAAAGGGAGTTCAACGTAAAATTATTTTCCCCTGAGAGGGTACATACGTTCCTTGTCATTCAAAGTAGTTGTCATCTCTCCATGGTTGTAATCGTAGTATACGTGTTGGTTTGAACTGTTTGGATTAACGTTTTTAACAGTCACCAGCAGTTGGGTAAATCAGGAAGCAGATGGTACCCTAAGTCTCCATGGTCCCTAGTATAGTGTGGCCCAGCTAACTTTGCTTGCCAGCTCTAGCTCGTTTTTATCATGTATCGTTATGTTTTTATGGTTGCATGAAAATTATAAATATAAGTCGGCGATAGTCTAGTTATTTTCCTGTCCTTTATTGACAAGTTTTTATATAGTCTAAATGTGTATCTTGTTAATTCATAATCTTCTATTGTCACGACATAGCTGAAATACTGCCGATGTGACTTTTGAATTTTAACTTGCTTACTGACTGAAATATCGTGTATTGTGATGAAATTCACCTACATGATATTGATTTCACAAATGTTAGTGTTAATAGTTTTCTGAATTGAACCTAGCGCTCAAATAGAACATTTGATGACTTTTTAGAACCATGGCACATTTTTCTCGAAAATATTTCAATAAGCTCGTGACAAACGGATGTAAGATTTCTAAAGGAAGTATTCGTCCGCTGGTATGTCCAACATGTTTTACTCTGATTCTACATGACTAGACTAAACCTTTCATGTCGAACATCGACATCGAACGGCTGCAAACGGAAGAATCTCAAATAGAAGTTGCCCGTTTCTTCAACGTTTAGATCGACGCGAGATCGAACACGATCGGGGAGATCACGCATCACAACTGCATCTCAGGATCGGTACACCCTGGTATTTCACTTGCGCCATCAGACTGTGACAGCAACAAAAACTATCGCTATCGACTGCCTGAGTACGGACTGTGCTAGGAGACCATATACTGGTACCGTATTGCGACGTCAGAACACACGTTTACATGTTCAGTAATGTGCTAACGTACAACGCTAGGATCTGAGACAGTGGGGATTAGTTATATTGCACCGACGAGACAGCAGAACTTGCGTTTAGAGGCGTTCAAATGAGCCTCTAATTGACCTGTGGAAGTCGACAGATTCGGGGTGGAGGTGGGTGATAATGTGGGCA